GACACGATGTTCCCGGGAAGCACCGCCAGCGTCCCCAGGAAGCTGACGAAGTACACCATGTAGGCGCCCTCGCCCGTCCCGGTCACGTCCAGCGGGCAGCCCTCCTTGTTGTGCAGGAACGTGCTGTTCACCAGACGGCTGTTCACAAACTTGTACTGAAACAGGTCTGGGGGCCAAGGCCAAGACCGGCAGGTCAGGGCAGAGACCCCGGCGGCCTTCCCCGGCGGCCTTGGGGGGCCCTGTCCGGAACGCTCATTCCCAACCACCGGGCACCGGCCACAAGAGGGACCTTTCCAGAAGGCAGTGACCAGGCCCACCACTGCCCAGCTTCCTGTTGGTGCACACGGGCCTGCCAAACTCTGTGGTCCACTCCAGCTCACAGTGAGTGGTGTCGTGAAATATGACAGAAAATACTAAGAACCATGAACAGTCCACTCACTGTTTTCCTGCAGTGGGAAGCTCAGGAGACCGCGTCTCACCTGCATCTAGTCTAAGAATCACCATTAAGTAGACCAAGGCCTCTTTGCCACCAAACATCCCTGTGTTTTCCTGACTCCCAAGGGGCCTGTGTGGAATGACCTTTGCTTCTTCCACAGCGCCTCTTGGTAATGAGTGAAGGTGCCCGCACTGCGATACTGAGTTGCTTTCCTGCCAGCAAAGGCAGAGAAAGTGATGGCGTGGCCACATGCTCGCCACGGGAAAATGTCGTTTCCACTCCATTCTGGAGTGACTGGTGACAGCACACAGGTCCCCGGTCCCCATTCCCGGGTCCCCAAGGCTCCACTTGGGGCCCCAGAGCTGAGGCCAGAGAAGGCCCCTCCCCCGCCGCTCTGCCTGGCACGCTGCCGCTCACCAGTGTTGTAGAACACGGTGTTGACGAAGGTGCAGTTGCGGAAGAAGGTGTTGCTGGACGTGACGTCCTCGAAGTAGCACTCCTCGAACAGGGAGTCCTCGAACGTCACAGACTTCAGGCGCAGCCCGATAAACCTGTGCGCAGGCAGCAGGCCCTCAGCCCAGACCCCGGGGAAGCGGGGCCCCTGGGGGCACCCCAAGGCCTCCGTCTGCACGGGGCGGGGCGTGGAGGCCACATACTTGTCATTGAAGTACTGCCCCCCTCGGTGGATCTGGTTCTCCAGCGTGAAGTTGAAAGTCACGTGCTCCACCCGCTCCCCGGGGAACACTTTGGTGCGGGCGGCGTAGTCCACCGCCTGGAGGTGGCGGATCATGTCGGGAAACCAGACGGTCAGGCCGTAGTAGCTGGAGAGCAGAGGAGGGGTCACAGCAGAAAGCGGCCAGCCCCAGTGGCCGCGCCGGCAGCCCGTGCCGCTGCTGACCTCCACCACGGTGCGGCTGTGACAGTTCCAAGCACCCCTGCCCTGCTGTCTCCCAGGCACCCATCAGCTCGCCTCTGCCCACCCCTCCCGCACCCCGAGTCTCGCTTGGCTGGGAAGTCGCCCCTGCGCTGCGGGGCATCTTAGCCCTCCTCCCCCACACACCCGCAGCTTGAGGGAGTGAGCGAGGTAGAGGAGGCGGAGGAGGGCCAGAGGGAGCTGCGTGCATCCTTCCTCATCCTGTACCTCGACACACCTCTCCCGGCCACAACCCCGTGCTCACCCCCGCGCCCCACCTGAATGACATGGTGAACCACACTCCCATCATCATCAGGGTGATGCGGCGATACTCGGGGCCAAAGCAGGAGAGGAAATTCCCCCAAACCTAGGAGGAACAGAACAGTCAGAGCGGCAGCACTAACTCCAGCACCCCAAGATGCCGTTTTTCTGCCGTTTTCCCCACCCCCTTCTGCTCACCCATCACACCTCACATGGCGTGAGCCCCACCTTCCCTTTCCAGGCACCCATACCCGTTACCTGTCCTCCCAGGCTCAAGGCCCGGACTCCCCAGCGCTGGTACCAGGTCCCGGTATCTGACTGGATCTCGATCAACTCATCCTCCTGGTGAATTGTCTTAATGTGGGTCACCTGGGGTCAAGAAAAAGCAGGGTCACAGTGTCTGCATTTCCTCACCCCTCCCAGTCATGAAGAGGGGCCAGGTGGACGCGTGGTCCTGGGAAGTCACTCCGGGGGGAGTGGCGGAGCCGTCTGGGAGGCGGCAGCTGGCACTCACCGAGAAGACGCGCTCCGGGTGCCCCTTGGCGCGCATGTTGGTGTCGTGCACCTGCTTCAGCACCATCCAGGCCTCGTCGTGCTTCCCGTTCTAGAGCCACAGACACAGTCCCCGAGCAGGTGAGCCCCGCTCCGCCAGGGCTGCAGAGCCCCCTCCAGCCTGGCTCCCGGCGTCGAGGGGCACACGCAGGCTCCCGCCCGAGCCCGTTGGGACAGGGGCTCAGCTCTGAAACAGTCCCAAGCAGAGCTGTGGCAAATGCGCAGAGGCTGGGCGCCAGCGGGGGTGTCCAGGGGCAGGCACGAGCTCGGGCCTGGGGGTCGCCTGGCACCAGGAGGAGAAACCTGGCACCACGGGGAGTCAAAACAGAGGCAGCACCCCAAGCACGCGGCCGGCTCCCACTCAAGGGAAGGGTGGCGGGAGGCGGGAGGCGGGAGGCGGGAGGACTCCCTTTGAGCCACGAGCCAGACAGGGCCAGGGCCTGAGCCGCCCCTGCCGCGCCAGGCCTGGCCTCTCCACCCGCCCCTGGAGACGCGTTCCAAGACAAGGAGGCAGATACAGTCCCGGCAGAACAGGAGGCAGCAGGAAAGGGCCGAAGCAAGCCCAGGCTGGGGGTTGAACGCGGGGGCCTGCGCCCCGCCCGCTCACCTCTAGGAAGAAGCGGGGGCTCTCGGGCTGTGTGGTCAGAGCCCCGATGGCAAACACAGAAGGAAAGGCGCAGACGAGGACAAAGACCCTCCAGCTGTGGAACTGGTAAGCGGACCCCATCTGGAAGCTCCACCCTGGCGGGGACAGCAGCAGCGTCGGCAGCGCACCGGAGCCGGCTCCCAGGCCGCTCCCAGGGGGCGCGGGAGAGGGGCGTGCAGGGCGGCGCGTGGCCAGGGCTGCTCACCGTAGTGGGGGATGATGGCCCAGGCCATGGCGGCCGCGTAGACGCCGCCAATCATCCAGAACATGCAGAGCCAGCTCAAATGCTCGCCACGCTTCTCCTGGGCCAGAAACTCCGAGAAATAGGAGAAGACAATGGGGATGGACCCTCCAATCCTGGGGGGCATGGCAAGAGCTCAGCCTGGGCAGGTGGGCGCACCCCTGCCCCCCTGCCTCAGTGCTCTGGGTCCCCCAGCCCCTTCATCTTCCACCTGGAAGCGACTCCTTGCCTGGAAAGTGGAGCCCACGCTCCCCACCCCCACTAGCCATCAAGCAACCACCTGAGGCACTGGGAAGCGGGCAGAGAGGAGCAGGGGCAGAATCTGGGGTGAGCACAGAGTTGGAGAGGTAATCTCAGGAAAGAGGGGAGCCCCCTGAAGAAAGCCAATGGGCAAAGGCGGGGGTGCGGGCGGCTAGAACGTGGGCGCAGGTGAGGAAGAGCTTGGGTGGGGGCGCGGGAGCGGTGGTACTCGGGGCGCCAGTGGTGGGCGTCCGCACGGCCAGCTGTCCAAGGCAACACACACGTGGACTCCAGAAGGGGGGCCTGAGGGGTGCATGAGGCCTCTCAGGGTGGGCGAGGGCGCGGAGCGGAGCGGACCTGAGAGGAGCGGAGCCTGTACAGGCGACAGTGGGGCGGAACCCGGTCCTGCAGCCCAAACATGCTGGGCCATCTGGCCTGCCTGGCTGAGGGGGCCCCGGGACAGAAGCGCGACCAGGGTGCTGCGCTGCCCCCAGGGACACTCACCCGACCCCAGAGAGGAGGCGGCAAAAGAGGAAAGTGCCATAGCCCTGGACGAAAGACGAGAAGAAGGCGAAGACGCTGTTGACGGAGAGCGAGATGAGCAGACACTGTCTCCTGCCCAGCCGGTCAGCCAGACCTCCCCAGAGGAAGGCCCCCACCATCATGCCCAGGTACACGATGAGCCCTGCGGGGAGAACACAGAGGCGGGCTGAACTTCGCCCTCCTGAGCACCACCACGAGCTGGACCCGCACAGAAGGGCTCAGGACCCCCCAAGGGCTTCTAGAAAGAAGCCGAGTCTAGCCAGCGATGGGAGCAAGGCAGAGACTGAAGGCGGAAGGCCCCCTCCGGGCAGGAACGCAGACACAGGACCCCCAGATTCACCTTTCTCTCCCTCACCTGCGCGCTCTCACTTCTTACTCGCTCACACGGGCTTGCCTGGGGCAAGGAACGGCTCTGCTAGACCCGCAGGCCCTGGGGCCCCCTCCATCCGGTCTGCCTTAATGACCTTGTACAGTAGGAGGGGGCTCTCGTGTTCCCTCCGACACCCCCCACACACACCAGGAACCCCGCCATGAAACTCATCCAGGACACTTTCCAGCACCGGTACTTCTGGGCCCAAAACCCGTGTCTTCGCTTCCCTCATGACAGCAGGTAAAGTTACCTGGACCATCACCTACTGCAAACTCTGTGTTTCACCCATGTCCCAGCCAAGCCCCAGGGCAGAGGGCAAGACCCGCTCCTCTTTGAGTGGGTGCAGGGGACTCGTCCTCAGGGTCCCCATTGCAAAGGGACAGCAGGGGCCCACAGTACCCCAAGGCCAACAGAGCAAGCCTAGCCAGCCCAGCTGAAGGCCCAGGACTCTTCCTCACCACCCAAACTGATCCTCCCCATTTAAGCCAAGGAGTCCGGGGACTTCCTGCTCCCCCAGCCAGGGAGAGGGGATAAGGAAGCAAGAAGACAAAGCGGAAGAAAGAGCAGAGCCCTCCCCCAGAACTACCCTGCAGACCTCCGGCCCTTACCCAGGCCTCTGGCATGAACAAGCCACTATCGCCCGTCCCAACCCCAAGAGGGGTCAGTGAGGAGACTGCAGCCCCCACTGGGGACACCTCGGGGCAGGGTGCCGGGGCGCCCGGCAGGGAGGCCAGGAACCCCCAGCAGGAGGAGGTGGCGGCCCGGCGCGTCTTACCCAGCATGCCTTTGTTGGAGTCAGACAGGCACATGTCTTTCTCTGCGCTGGGCAGCACGAAGCCGACCACAAACACCTCCACACCGTCAGCCATGAGCGCCAGCCCCAGCACGAAATAGAGCGTCCACTGGAAGCGGCCGTGGCCGCACTCCCGCAGGATGGCTTCGTACTGCTGGGCCAGCTCCTCTCGGTCTTTCCGCCGCTGTGCCTCCCCCCGGCCCCCGGGGGGGCCCTCCCCATCGCCCAAGCCCCCCCTCACTCCAGCCAGGGGCGCCCCATCGGCCATCCGCTCGCCTTTGCCCCCGGACTCCGCCCGGGGGATGCCCTGATATTCCCCCTCGTAGATCTCATCGTCCTCATCGTGGCCCTCGGTGGCGTCGCTGGACGCACCCCCTTCCTCCTCGTCCTGGGCCCCCTCCCCGCGGTAGTAGCCGTCCGCAGGGGCGGGGAAGTCGTCGTCGTCGTCCTCCTCCTCAAAGCGGGAGTAGGATCTTCGGGAATACTCGTCCTGGACTCTGTCCAGGCCCTTCACCACCTTCTTGGCCGCGTGCTTCTTGACCTCCTTGGCAATGTCTTTGGCCCCGCGGATGAAGGCGGCCCGGTCTCTGAAGCCCTCCTCCATGACGGGGCCCCGAGGGTGCCTCACCCGCCTGCTCTCCTTCTTTAGCTTTTGGTCCAAGGGCTCCTGGCGTCAGAAGGAACCCGCCCGCGGTTAGGTGCGAGTCCGACTATCTTTGTGCACAGAGCCGGAGAAAGCACGCCTGGCCTGCGAGTGGCCAGGAGGGGAATGGAGGGAGCAGAGCTGTGGCCTGCACCCCTTCAGCTGGGGGCATGGGGGAGCGACAGGGGAAGTGGGCTAACGAGAAGCAGAGGAGCCAGGTCGTGGGGGGCTAAGCCCGGGAGCCGGGGTAACTCGGGAAGGGCTGCCTATTTCCAGGAGCCTCTGGAGATCTAGAAAAAAATCAGAGGGAGAAAAGCAGGTTGTGAGGCCCGAGATGGTGCAGAAGGCCAATAGAGGCCAGGAGCCCCGGGGCCCAGAGATGGCCTTGGGGCTTGACAAAGGCCAACTGTGGGTCACTCCGCAGGACCCAAAGGCTTTGACTTTGACCGTGGAGACCGACCGCGAGTGATCTGCTCCAGAGCCACAGTCACCTTCCCAGGCCTGGCCCCTGGTCTCGACCCCGCGCCTCTGCCACTACTCCCGGGAACAGGACAGGACACGGGAGGAGCCAGAATTCCCTGCTCTAGTCTGGGTTGGGGTGTCTTACTGAGGCGGCGCCTGGGGAGAACCAGTGGAAGCACCAAGCTCCCCAGCCTGCCGCCTGCAGCCCGCTGATGGCCTCTTGAAGGTGGGGCCGGGCTCTCCTTGGATGCCACGCGAAAGGCCTCTCTCAGCGCAGCCTGGTGGTTACACACTTGGCTTCCAGCATCGAGCGGACGGGCCCCCCAGCACCTGCGAGCTAAGGGACCTGAGCGCGCTTCTGAAGCTCCAAGCCTCAGTGTCCCCTTACTGCACGAGGCGAACAAGGACTCCAAGCTTACCAGGGCCCCATCACAGTGCCTGGCCCGTGGGGGCGATCAGCATCACCTTTGGTGACAGCAGTGGGTGGCGCTAGGCTCTGCTCCCTGGCTGTGCCGCGTGAGCCACGTGGAGAAAAGCCCCTACTCTCTCCCAGGACCCACAGCAGACATCACCCCTGGGTGTTTTTAGGGTGAGCAGCAGACAGGGGCAGCTCCATGGGCCCTCGTGGACAGGTGGCCTGGCCTGCGTGAGCCTGTTTCCTGATGTTTGAATTGGGGGGGAATCTCCTTTCTTCCCAGGAGATGTGAGAATTTAATCTCGAGTAGACATTCGTCCATAAATCTTAGTGCTCTTCCTACTGAAACTCGTGGAAGAGCCAAAAGCAAGGAAGCAGGGAGTGGTGCTTGTTACGCTCCGCCCACAGCTTGGGCCCTCTCTCTGCCGCCAGGCTCAGTCAGCAGCTGGGCAGCTCTCAGACAAGCAAGGGGAGGCTCAGAAAAGGAGGAGGCCTAGAACCTGAGGTCACGAGGAAGAGGGTCAAAAACCGCAAGTTAACCACACCTGGCTGGGCCCGCCTCAGGCATCCTGCGTGGGCGAGTTGGGGGTGGCGCTGATGAGACACATTTCCAACATAGGGGGCCTGAGGTCTACAGAGGCACCTCTGTCCTCCAGGGCTTCCCCTTCCTAATCCCCCTTAATCCTTTCTGCTCCTCCTCCAGAAGTCAAGGGGAAAGGAGCCCAAATACCGCAGTGCAGTGCGTAGGAGGCTGGTGTGAACGAAGCGGGGCTTGAGCCGCCCCTCCAAAAAATACATCCTCCGGAGGGAGGCATGGGAGAGCCCCCCTCCTCCGCAGAAGCAAAGGCAGCAGGGCTAGATTCTGATCGGAGATCACCCCCTAAAAATACCCTCGTCTGCCCCCACCTACCCAGGGCCTTCATTAACGTGACACACACGCGCCCGGTGGAAGAGAGTGGAACGCTGTGTCCCAAGGCGCGCATGCGGGCCGCCTCCCCTCAGGACAGACGAGGGGCACCACGAGGGCCAGACACACAGACCATGCCACCTTTCCACGAGGGGCCCAGGGCCCGGACCCTCCCCCACCAGGGAGCGGAAAGCATGAGCCCCTCATTGCATGGCAATGATCTCCCCTCTTTGCTTCCCCCCAGACCCTCAGGGCAGCAGCTGGACTCACGTGTCACCATATCCTATGTCGGGTGACCCCACGTACCCCTGAGAGCTTAGAGAAGGGTGGAAAAGGCCCCCAGAGCCACAGCGGATGATGGCTCAGCAGCCGGCTCCCCCAGGGCCAGGAGCCCAGGGCGAGGAAGGAGGCAAATGCTGGAGCTGGGCTGGCGCTTGCGCTATTTTTAGTCCCCGGCAGCATAGGGTGGCTTCGCCTTTGCCGATCGCTGAGGGTGGCAGAGGTTACAGGAGACAAGACTCAGGCTGGCACAGTCAGCCCCTCAACTAGCCTCACCGGGCTGGAAAATGTGCCCAGGAGATTTTCTGCAGCGGAGGGCAGCCTGACCGGCCTTGGGGGGGCTTCTGGGCAAAGGCCTTCCGGCCAGTTGGCCCAGCCCTGGATAAGAGCAGGGTCCAGAGCTCAGAGAGCACCGCCCCCCAAGTCCCTGACTTCGGTAACCCCGGATTCCCCAGCCACCCTCGCCCAGGTGACAAGGTCATTAGCCAGCAGTCACTTATCAAAACATTCGGGGAAGGGGGGGCGGGGAGAGGTACAGGAGCACCTCTCCCAGCCACGGAGGGGCGATGGAGCCGCCTCCCAGGGCAGCGGGCTCCTGCCCTCCCGGCCTCCTACCCGGGCTCGGAAGAGGAAGCACCCACGACCGAGGGGAAAACAGATGATGGTGTCCGCCGAGAACGCGCCCGGGAACGCGGCCGCGGCACGAGGCAGGCCCGGGGACACCCGCGGCCCGCACCCGCGGCCCCTTCCCCGCTCACCTCGCCCCTTCAGAGGGACGAGCCCCCGAATCCACCGCAGGGTCCCCCCGCCGGCTCCCTCGCCGGGCCAGCGCTGGAAGGCGCCCTTCCCCCAACCCAGCGCACCTGTCTCCGCGCCCCCACGCCCCCGGTCGGGCCCCTC